AGGCTTTGAGCAACTTAGCCAGACCCTCTCTCAAAATAAAAAATAAAAAAGCCTGAGAACGTGGCTCAGTGGTTAAGCATCCCTGGGATTCAGTCCCCTAGTACCAAAAAAAAAATGCATTTTACACTTTTAAAAAGAGATCTGAGAAACATAAAACATGATAATGCTTCATAGGCCACTTTAAACAATAAGACAATAACATATGTTTTGCAAGCATTAACACTGAACACTTTGCAAAAGTATAATATTTATGAACAAACAATATTTGTAAAAAAAAAAAAAAAATCAAACTAGTTATAATGGTGCACACCTATAATCCCAGCTACTGAAGAGGCTGAAGCAGGAGTATTGGTCAGCCTCCATGACCCTGTCTCAAAATAAAACATAAAAAGGACAGGAGATGTAACTCAGTGGTAGAGCACCTCTGGGTTCCATTCTTAGTACTGGGGGTGGGATGGGGGGGATAACCTTAAAAATAAATATTGTGAAAGACAACCTATATTTTTTTAGGTGACATCAAAAACCACAATGTGTTAGTATCACACATGCATTTGCTTTAAGAACAGAGGTGAGGAAATGTTATCTTTCAAAAATGCAGATGTACAAAAAAGACATCTCTTCATTTACTGAGGAATTTTCAATATTTTCATGTATAAGTATAATGCTCACATACTAATTCAACATTGTTGCTAATGCACATTTGCAGGATTTAATTTGTAAAAAAATGCATAAACAAATAAGAATTCTCAAAGTCTTTACAAAATTTATACCTGTTATTGAAAATGATGTGAAGACAAAATATACAAAGCATAACCAATTATAAAAAAAATGTTGACAAAAACGCAGAAAAATAATCTGAAAATTCAATATAAGAAAAATGTGTTATGGGAATAGAGTATGGGCAACTGAACAGATGTAGTCCATAAGTGCTGATCAACTCTCAAGATCATTAACTATATTTTTAAGTCTTGCACTGAGATAAATAGCTGTTTTTTCTTTTCTTAAGTATTGTTCTTGGTGGAGAATGCAAGCACATTCCTTTTCTGTCATACTGCTCATTTTGAAATTCTTCTATGATTCAATATAGAGCAATATGATCATTCTCTATTAAAATTTTCCATTTTCTGCACCATGCTATGTTGTTTTGGTTACACAGAAAACTCTTCTACACTTATTCAATATACAGAGAACAAGTTCAGCAGAAACAACTGGGGACTGAACCTAAGTGTGTTCTACCATTGAGGTACATCCTCCAACCCTTTTTAAGTTCTATTTTGAGACAAGGTCTCACTAAGTTATGGGAGCTTGCCTCAAACTTGCGTCCTACCTCAGTTTCCCAAGCCACCGTGGGCCACTGCGGCTGGCCATCATTGCCTATCTTATCCTACCATGCACATAATTACTTTCAAACCAGTCAGTCATATCACTGGCCTCCTCAAGCATATATGGATTTAATTCATTAAAAGCTCCTTGAATCAGGAATGCCAATGCAGACAGATGACACATTTTTAAACTTTTTATCCTTGCTGAATCACATCATGGATAATACATTCACCTGAAATTTCTGTCCCATGCACTGGACTAAATGGAAAAAACAATCTTTGTTGGTAATACCTTGACATTCATTTTTAGAAGTCTTGATCACACATATTTCCAAATCTGTCTTTATGGTATGACATAAGAAATTCACTTCTTCTGCAAAGTCCATCAAAT